GCTGGGGGGGCTGGAACGGACAACCTGAAAGTCTCGCCACCACCAGCAACCGAAACACGACAACGACATCCTGTTGCCAGCATCCACCCAGATCCAGCGAGTAAAGAGACAGCGGGGGGGGTTGCAGACCGACCTCGGCCTCCCCAGGCCCTGGCGCCGAATGAGGCCCCAAGGTCACTGCTGTCAAGACACGGATTGGGAACCCAAGGGAAGCTCCAGTTGGTAACGTGCAGTAGTAACGCTTGGCAAGGAGGAAGTTCTTGGAACGGGCTAAGAAAGGGCCCCATGCCATGATTTTTTATATGCTGTTTGTTCAAGAGATCCGTCTAACGAGGCTGCAGTCGCGAGGTCCCCGATCGTGGGCTTCTCTAGCAGGCTCGGCTTCGTCATGTTCGGCGACAGTTTCTGCGGGCCAAGCAGACAATGCGACTTCTGGAGGTGTGGCTATTCTTACCTCGGATCGGTTTGGTGCCTTGAGGAGCGCAGATGTGCGAGGCGTTTGATTCCAACAGGTCAGGTCCAAATGCTCCTCGTCTCCGTATACGGCCACACACAGATCGGACTGTCGTGGGGGAGCTTCAACTTATTCTTGGTGTGGGGTGAAAGGATCTCGTCTGTTGCCTTACCGGTGTTGATTGCTGAAAATTGGAACATTGATGCAGAGACTCTGAGAGACCCCAGGTGGTGTGACCATATCCCTGCAACTATAGTCCGTCCAACTCCTCCGACGTGCCATGACAATTGCTACGATTGCTTGGTAACCAGCCGCTGCCTGGAATTCTAAGTGGATTTCTGCCAATCGTGGCCAGACACTCCTGTCGGGCCTCACGCCGCGCCACGGCGTGGAGGAGGATCGCGCCGAGGAGTTTTCCCCTGCCCAAGACTGACGAGGAGAAGCTTGCTTTTGTCGCGCAAGGCTACGCTGGTGAGGCGAGGCTCGACCTGGGCAATCTCATGACGACCGCGGCGCAATGGTTCGACGCGGCAGAGGCGGAGCTTGTGGGCCTGCATTCGATCAAGGATGCGAAGCGTTTCACAGGGCGCTCGGCGGGGTGTCAGGTACAGAAGGTCCCCTTGCAAACAGCGCGGGGGCAAGACCTCAACCAGATCTGCTCAGATGTTGCGCAGAACGGGCTGTCGGCACGACGGCTGGGAATGCTTTTCACCAAGCAGACCAGCGGGAGGTAGGCTCTTTGTCACAGCTCGAATGAACGACCGCTTGTTTTCAATTGCGCAGGTTGGGGAGCTGCGCCCGCTGTCAACGGCCACTCTGTTCGAAGAAATGCTCGAGAGAAGCCGAGCCTCAGATTTTGTCAACTGGCTGCGGGCAGAAGTTTCCCAAGAAGGGTTGCTCAGGAGACCGCCGAAGGGCGTGAGACATGGGGATCATAGGCTCAGGCGTCCGTGCTCTCGGGAGGGCGCGCAGCTCGCAGGGTCTCCAAGTGCCCCTTCGGTGCCTGCCCCGCCAGTCATGTCTGATTCGAACGAAGAGGGCGACTTGATCCCCTTAGCAGGCGACGCTGCTCTCCATGAAACCTTGCAAGAGTGATTGCCGATTCGGCGCAGCGATGGCCGCGCTGGCGAGCTGCCTCCGAGCGCCTGAGTCCGCGAAGATAGCCCGCCGCTGATGACTTCCGAGCAGGTCTTGCGCGCTGCCAAGTCGTTGCTCCCAGGCACAGGGCTCGGTCGGGATTCTTTTTTATCCCCAGTTCCTTAGGCAGCTCTCCACTCGCCTCGTGGGAGAGGGGCCCGGCGGTGGGCCACTTTGGCTGGCGATTTAAATGTTTCGGTCTAAGCCGACGCGGGGGTGAGGCCGATGAGTGCGCTGCCAGTGCGCGCCAGACTTTGGAGTGGAACCAGGCGCCCCCTCTGCTCCAAGTGGGAGAAGACATGTATGCTTCCTTTTTTTCTGGGGGATGGGCTCCTCCGCAGCGTGCGACGCAAGCGCTTTGGTTCACGGCGCGACGGCCTCTTTTGCGCAAGAGGCCCCAAAGCTGGTCTCGGGCGCGCTGTTCCCCGATGTGCGTGGAAATTCCATGACCGCATCAACCGCGCCGAACTCCTCGCGGCAGCTGTGCAAACTGAGTCTCCCCGGCCCCTTTTAGAGGCTTCTTCCGTGATCTACAGGCCCTCATTCGAAGAGCACCCTGACAGGGGGCGGTTTCCAGAGCAATCATCACGAATGGCGCAGTCGTTCCAGGATGTTCGGGGGCCACCTGGCTCGCAAGGTTGCTACTAGCCTCGGTGCCGAGAAGGATGGTCTCGGCCTGTCGCGCGGTGGCGCGTGGGAGTGTTACGGATGACATTTCTTTTCGGGGCGCAGGAGGTCAGGCCGAAGCGCGCAAGGAACTATCGTCAACCTTCAGCCCGGTCTCTCAGGATCTCCAGGCCAAGGGCCCCCAAATCGCTTGGATCAAGCTACGTAGGCATGCTCGCGCCCGCTCCCTCTCAGGCCAAGCCGCTTGTCGAGATCTGCGATCTGCCCCCAGAGGCCAGGGCGGCGGTCCACCGCGATCTAGGAGGGGGCGCGGCCGATGGAGCCAGGAGGAGGGCTTCAACCCATTGCGCCAGTTTTTTGGAGGCTCAGGCCGCAGTGGCCAGGCATCTCAGCATCGGAGAGGCGGGGGCCCCCGCGGGGGGTGTTCTCGCGGTGGAATTACCTCCGCGGCTCCTTGGGGGGGGGCCTCCTTGACGGCGAACTCAAAGGTCTCAGGGTCGCGGCTGTCCGAGCTGAAGGTGAACTGCCCAGTGGGTGCTCGAGGAGGCTGGCTGAGGGACTCCTGAGTGCAGGCCTCAGCCGGAGCGGTCAAGACCTGCCTTGAGGACGGCAGGTTGTCGGTTCGTATGTTGGCTGAGCTGTTTTCTAAAATCCGGGCGGTGGCCCAGATGCCGAGTCCATGGGCGCCTGCAAAGGGCGTGGCGTCGGCCTTCCTGTTGACTTGCCAGAACCCGTGTGACAGACATGGGACCTTTGGCAGGTTCCATCAGCGTTCGTCTCCAGGAGGGCAAGATCCTCGGCACGTGGGGTCTCAGGCAAAGCCTGGCGAGGTGAGCTTTTTCTCGGGGGTATCCCAACGAGCTGCTGCATCAGAAGATAAAAGGAGGACGGGGGTCAGCCAAGGACTGGAGGGACTTGGCGATTGCGTGGGCAGCGTGCGCTGCGGGAGCTCCTCATCCCACTGGTGCCCATTTCATGTTCGCCAGCATGGCCCAGGGCTTGCCTCGGAGTGCCTCGTTTGTAGCGAGCGAGGCGTTTTTTTTCCATCGCCACTTTCGCTGCTCGTCACGATCACCATGGAGACAGGGCGGTCTTCCTGACCGCGTTGAAAGGGCGGCGATGTGTGTGGCCACTTACAGCATTGAGCTTCAGGAGCGTTTTGCCCGAGGGATTTTGCCTGACCGTTTGCAAGCTTCTGGCTAAGAAACCCTGGGACCCCACACCGGAATTTCGTGCGCGCGGAGGTCTTGCGGGGCTGTCAATGCTGTCTAACGGTGTTGTTTGCTGTGATGGCGTGGGCTCAGATGAACCGTTCCCCTCGCTTCGTGCGGCTGGATGGGGTGTCGCCATCTGGAACGGTTCCCTGCCTCCAGCCACCTTGCCTAGTCAGGTAACGCGAGGCGGTGATGATCATGTTTCGAAGCCGTGCGCAAGATATTTCACCGTTTTCACTGACTGTAAAAGCGCGCTCGAATGCTGCCATAATGAGGACAGGGCCCTCTCCTCCTCGAGCCCCAGGGCGCATCTCTGGAAGCTTGCGTGGGAGTCGGGAGACCTCGATGGGGGCTTGTTTCAAGAAGGTCCCAGCCCACGCGTCCGCGAAAGATGCCAGAGGAGGCTTGCTGTCTGCATTCGAACGCACTGGGAATCATGAAGAGGACAGACTCGCCATGCTAGGAGCTGGTCTAGTCCAGCACGGCCCCGAGGATATCCTGCTTGCCAAAGGTTGCCTGGTTTTGTCTCGGGGGCTCCTCCTGTTTATCACGAGAGCGAAGGTGTACTACAGCGAGCAGGGTAGTTTTGATCATGTAGGAGTTCAAGGGCTCTCCTTGTTTTCCCTCGATTTGCCCTCGGACCACGAGGCCCAGCTGAAGGGACCCCCCGTCTGTGCCGCCCCGCCTGGGGCCTGACCCTGCAGCTGACGCCACGAGGGACAGATTTCTCGGGGGCACCGAACAGGGGACCAGGCCGCGGAAAGAGGGGGGTCACTGCCTGTCTGATTTTCTCGAGGTGGACGAGGCCCTTCCTTCGCTCCTCTTTTGATCGACCTGCAGAGAATATGTTACGGTCTGTGACGCTAGGGGTCTACATGATTTGCGCGAAAGCCCGGCTTGCTCCCGACGTGGGGCAGGCAAGGACAATCCGTTCAATTTTCCCAGGTTGAAGCACCCGAATCGTCCGTGCAGGTTGGGCCCTGCGAGGACTCCCAGAGGCCTGGCGGTTGAGTTGTTCGGCCCAAAGCTTCTCGAGGCTGGGCGTGAGGCCCTGCCAGGAAGGCCCAGGGCGTCGGGAGCCCCCTCTTGCCGGGGCTCTGGCTCGCTCTGCCTCTCGGATCGCCTCCAGGCTTTCAGGCTCCACGGGATGGAAGCTCGAGAGCTCCGCAAGCCGTGTCCAGCTCGGAAGCCTGACGATGCGTTGCGCAAGGGAGATCCGTGTTCCTCAGGGGGGCCGGTCGCTGGCCCACGGCGAGCAGCCTGTCCGAGTTGAGCCTTGGTGACAAAGAGGTCCTCTCCGATGGGCCCCCTTAGGGTTTTTGGGAGTCTCTCTTTCTCTCTCTATCCCCCCTCCGTGGCGTGCAATCCGCCTCCTCCTCCTCCTCCTCCTCCTCCTCCTCCTCCTGGAGCTGCTTTTCCTCCTTAGCAGTCGCTCTACCCATCCCTCCCCCTCCCTCGTCCTCCTCCTCCGCCTCCCCTTCCCCTGCTGCCCCCGTTGTGAGGATCCTGCGCGCCGCCTAAGGCGGCGCCAACGGCTGCGAGGCTGTTGAGCCAGTCCGGCAGGGGGTCTCGCCGCGGGAACGCACGGAGAGGCTACGAGGGTAGGGCAGGTCGTCGTCGTCATCGTCGTCGTCGTCGTCCTTGTCGCCGACAGGGGCTCTCGAGCACAGGCCTGCGCCTCCCTCCTCCCTCCTGATGCTTCTCCTCTTCCACTCCCTGCTCAACTCCCTCCCTCCACCTCCACTTCCTGTTCCACTCCCTTCTCTTTGCTGCTGCTAGTCAGGAAGGACGCGGCTCCGATTCAAGTGATGGCAGAGCATTTGCATTGCTGGCTGGGTCACCCCCGGCGCAAAGGTCCCTGGCCGGCTCCCGAAGCTACTGGGAGGCAACCATACTCGCCAGGGCCGTGGACAGGGCGGACGCGGCATCTGGGCCCAGAGGAGCCCAGCGTGATGAGGGACACCCAGGAGGCCCCCAAGAGGCCCGCAAGACGGCCAAGAGGGCCGCAAGACAGCCCAAGAGGCCCCCCCAAGACGGCCCCAGAGACCTCCAAGACGGCCCCCAAGCGCCAAAGATGGACCCACGACTGCCCAGGGACCAAGGCGGCCTCCGAAGGCCAGGAGGCCCCCCAAGAGGCCCCCAGGATGTCCCCAAGAAGTCCGAGGATACTCCCAAGAGGCCCCCAGGATGCCCTTTAGAGCCGCCCCAACATCTCCCACGAAGTCCCCAAGAGCTCCAAGAGGGCGCGAAGAGGTATCGTCTTGCTCCTATTCAACCTTCTGTCCTCTCCTCAGTGTTCCCCCGAGGGGTTCCAAAACGTCTGGGGGAACACAAAATCCAATAGCTTGGTCTGACTTCGGCCCAACGTTTGACCGCATGGGCGTTTCCAAAGGCAGAGGGGTCGCGGTGATTCGCCGCAGGCGTCTTCGATGACTGGGAACGAGGGAGGCGTGAGAGTAGGATGAACAGAGCAGCAGGAGGAACAGAGGAGGAAGGATGAGGGTTGACGATGTGGCTAGTGGCGAGTAGGACAACGAGTGAAACAGAGACGAGGTGCGAGAGGAGGATGAGGAGGGAACGAACGAACCCACACCAAAGCCGCGCCCGCTCCGCTAGGAAACCCGCCGTGCCCATCCGAGCATGGCGGGGAAGCCATGGCATACAAACGAATTGTTTTGTGGCCGCCCGTCACTTCGGCGAGGCGCGCCTGCCGAGAAACGCGTCAAACACAGCCCTCAATTCAGCTTTCAACATGCCGGAACCAATAGGTTGCATGTTTGTCCAGCTCGTCGTCGGAACCAGTAGGCTGCATCCTTATCCTTCTCGTCGTCCTCCTCATCTGAGGTGCCTTGGTCCTCCGTATCCTCCCTGATACCCTTATGCTATGACTCTGGGTCCAAGTGGAGCTTGTCACCTACGTCGCCCTCGCCAAACTCACAGGACGTGGTGCCGAAAACCAACTTCTCCCTGAATCCCTTGCTGGCCTCCACTTCGAAATCGTGGTCACCATTCTCCTCATTTTCCGCGTCCTGAAACTCATTGGTGTTCTGCCTCTCCGGCGATTGCTCGCGCTCCGGCTCTTTGCGCAGGTGCTCCAGGTAACTGCCCTCTTTCTTGATCTCGGCGACGCGTCTATCGAGCTGATCGAAATCACCCACACGGGTCTGGAACATCAATGACAAAACCATTGTTCCCAGTCCTGCCAATTCCGTGGCTCTGGAATTCGGATTGCCACGTACTGTTGTAGACTCACAAGAAAAATTATAATCACCACGGGCTGCCATGGAATTACAATTTTGAGCCATGGGACATATCATGTTTACGAGGCGAGGTCGCAACGAAGGGAACGAATGCTCAGGAACACGGGTGGATACGAGATGCGCAGGGAAACGAAGGGGACGAAGAGGATGTTTGAGAGTAGTAGGATGAAAAAACATGAGGAGCCAGCCTGGGCGTTGAACCCCAAGGGCGGGCGGGAGAGGCGGACAAGGGGCCGCCAACGACCGAGGCAGCCCCGCACCCAGGAGCGGGTGGGTGGGGCAGAACGGCCGACGGGCCCGCGCCGCGCGAGCGCCGCACGAGCGCGGTGCCCAAATCAATAAAATAGACAACCTGCGAAGCGAGCATCGCCAAGGCGCGCCGCGATCCGCCCAGCGCGCGATCTCCGCGGCGCGCCTGCGCGAGCGACCGCGGCAGGCCCGCGCGAAACAACGCAGAAGCGCAAAGACGCGACTGCGGGCGGTGCGCGCTGCGGTCGGGCTGCATGCGGCGCGCGTCGCACGCGCCGCGGCGCCGCAGGGCCCGTCGGCCGACCTGCGATTTGTGCCCGCGCAGCACCCTACGGGTGTGCGCCCCCCACAAATCTCGGCGTACCTTCCCTGTGTGCCCGACCTCGGGCGCCAGCGCCCCAACGGTGGGTGCGGCGACCGAGCCAGGGCTGCCGTCCCGCGAGCGCCCCGCGTGGGGGGTGCTTTCGGTGACGCGCACAGTCCCCGACGCGGCCAGCCTGGGCGTTGAACCCAACGCCGCAAGCGCCCAGGCTCGCCTGGTCGGGGCGCGCCAGGCCTGCCGCGACCCAATGGAACCCCGGGTGCAGGTCGCAGTGCGCGCCGATCGTGAGCCTGGCCGACTTACCCCGCAGGCACCGGTGCAGAACCTGGTCTGCTCGCCGCGCCGGCGCTTGGGCACGAGGCTGCGGCCGCTGCTTCGGCGGTCGCATCGCCCTCGTGCTGGTGCATATCGGGTATTCTTTGAAAGCGCGGGAACTCCAATCGGCGCCGCGGCGGATCTCACAAAGGCGGCCGTTGCCCCTCCGCCTAGTCTCCGCGTGCCCGCGGCGGAACGCTCTGCTCGTAAAAGAAGCCGCGCTTGGTGCGCCGGCGTGCCGTGCCGCCGCCTTGATCGCGCGCTGCACGGGCACGGCGATTGAGACGACGCCGCTGCCGTCGACTCGCCGCATATGCGGGAACGCGGGCGAGCCGACGCAAATGCCCTCGAAAAAACTACGCGCCGCGTGCACAATGCAAGTCGCACGCGAATGTTTGCACCAGCAATTCCGCACCGCGACCGTCGGGCCGTCGCGGTGCTTACGCCGCGAGAAATGCAACGTTGCAGAATCGCCCGAAAAGAAGATGACGACTCTTGCGACTGGCCTTCGCAGGTCTTCGTCAGAGAAGGCGAAGTCCTTAAATGCCGATGGGTCGCCTCGCTCAATCAAGAGGGCCTCGGAGGGCACGCGCAGAGCGAACCCCCAGGACACCAAGAAGAGCGCGCACATCGCGCTGTCGGCACTTACAAAGTCGAGCATAGCCGATAAGTGCGAGAGCAGGACGAAACACTTCAGCGGCCGCCTCACGGGGTGCCGCTTCCCGATGGCCTTGCGGGCGCCCCTAACCGAAGGATGCGAAAAGGCCGACGCGTCCCGGCCCAACAACTGGCATGCCTTCTTAAGCTGTGCCACGTAATTGCCGAAGGTGCGCGGGTTGCGAAATTCGAGCGCGAACAAGCACACCTCGTCGGCCGACGGCGGCAGTGCGCTGCAGCCGTCTCTGTTGAGGCGACGCTGCGCGAAAGCCACCCACGCCCGGACCGCAGCCCCCCAGGACCCGAAGGAACGCGGCGCCGAGCCGACGATTGCCAAAGCTCGCGCGCGGGCCGGGCTGTCCTGCATGGCCACTGGCGACGGCGGCCCGCGAGCGCCGCTCGCGACGGACTTGCGAGGGCCGCCCGTGGGCACGGGTGACAATTGCACGCTGCGCACGGCCCTGTAAGCGCGCGCCAGCTCTCGCTTCGCCGCGCTGTCGCACGCGGCACCCGGCGCGAGCGCGCCCGGGCCGCCGCGCGCGAGCGCCGGTTGTTTCAGCACACGGGACGGCGCTGGAGGCGGCCCGCTCGGCGGCCGCGGAACTCCCGCCGCGATCTCACGCAAGCGCGCTTGGGCGTCTGCGGAGAAACGCTCAAAACCTGCTACGCGTTTCCCACTTTGCGCCGCGTGCGTCAGCGACGTGTTCGAAACCGTTCGCGACCAGTACATTCGCAATCAGATCAACTTCCACATCATTGCCTGCGCGCGAAAAACGAGCGACTGAGCCTGGCGGCGCGCGCGATGGCCGGATCGCCAGGCACGCCCGCCCTGCGCAGTCCAAGCGCCAAGCGCGTCACATCCACGCCACCAGACGACAAACGATCGGAAACGCGACGCGCGGCCGAGCAGGAACGCCCCCCCCTCGCCGCGCGACCGGCGCTGGCTGCAGTGGCGGCGCGCGACCGGGGGGGGCGCGGGGGGGAGGAGGAGGGGGGAGGGGGAAGGGGGGCGAAGGGCGGAGGCACAGGGGGGGGAAGGGGGGGCCGGCGCGAGAGGAGGGAGGGGGGGAAGAAGGGACCGCACTCCCAGTGCGGCGCGCGCGGACGCGGAGCGGAAGACGCCGGGCGCTCCCAGCGCGGCGTCCAACCTGCACGCGGACGCAACCGATGATGCAGGGAAGCGACAGACGATGAGAGCCCTCCCTCTTTTTGCTCAGAGCCACAGCGCCTCCCAGGCCTCGGCTGCGTGAAACCGCGCATCGAGCACCGCTGGCACCTGGCGCGCGCCGAGCAGGTGCAAGAGACTGTAGACCTCGCGGGACGGCCCGTCCGAGATGTTGCTTTTGGACGGGACGCGGCGCACCCACATCGACAGGGACATGCGCGCCGCGAGAGACCAAATGCCGCGGACGAGGGCTGCGTGATCCCAGTCCCGGGCGCTCGCGCGCGCCACTGACCTCTCGGCCCCCGAATTGTCCGAGAACACTTCCAGCGCCCGACCTGCCAGTCGCTCTTCAAAAGACGACAAGCCTAATGCGACCGCCAAGACCTCGAGGCCCATAATCTGGCCGTCGCGTCTGCGCTTGAAATTCCGCATCAGAGCTGCGTCGGGTGCGCACTCGGCAAACAGGATTTCGCCGTCTATAAAAAGCACGGCGGCGGCGCGAGGGGGCGTGCTCCGCGCGTCGCAGAACATGTGTGCCGCGGGCATGCCCCCTTGCTTCCAGCTGGCCACTTCGCGCAGCCTGAGCTCGAGCACTTGGGC